AATTATGACTATTATAAAAAGAAGTTATTTTCACTAATAAATATGTGATGATTCCACATTATCTGGGATTACAGAAAATGCTTCAATTTAAAACTGAAGCAACAGAAAATGCTTCAATTCAAAACTGAAGCACAGAAAATGCTTCAATTCAAAACTGAAGCACGGAAAATACTTCTATTCAAAACTGAAGCACAGAAAATGCTTCTATTCAAAACTGAAGCACAGAAAATGCTTCTATTCAAAACTTAAGCACAAAAATGCTTCAATTCAAAACTGAAGCACAGAAATTGCTTCAATTCAAAACTGAAGCACAGAAAATGCTTCAATTCAAAACTGAAGCACAGAAAATTAAATAAATTTTTTATATTTTCAAGTATATTTTTGTTAACAATTTCCAAAATTTCACAGCGACAGATATTTTATGATAAAATTATGACTATTATAAAAAGAAGTTATTTTCACTAATAAATATGTGATGATTCCACATTATCTGGGATTACAGAAAATGCTTCAATTTAAAACTGAAGCAACAGAAAATGCTTCAATTCAAAACTGAAGCACAGAAAATGCTTCAATTCAAAACTGAAGCACGGAAAATACTTCTATTCAAAACTGAAGCACAGAAAATGCTTCTATTCAAAACTGAAGCACAGAAAATGCTTCTATTCAAAACTGAAGCACAGAAAATGCTTCAATTCAAAACTGAAGCACAGAAATTGCTTCAATTCAAAACTGAAGCACAGAAAATGCTTCAATTCAAAACTGAAGCACAGAAAATGCTTCAATTCAAACTGAAGCACAGAAAATGCTTCTATTCAAAACTGAAGCACAGAAAATGCTTCTATTCAAAACTGAAGCACGGAAAATGCTTCTATTCAAAACTGAAGCACAGAAAATGCTTCAATTCAAAACTGAAGCACAGAAATGCTTCAACTCAAAACTGAAGCACAGAAAATGCTTCAATTCAAAACTGAAGCACAGAAAATTAAATAAATTTTTTATATTTTCAAGTATATTTTTGTTAACAATTTCCAAAATTTCACAGCGACAGATATTTTATGATAAAATTATGACTATTATAAAAAGAAGTTATTTTCACTAATAAATATGTGATGATTCCACATTATCTGGGATTACAGAAAATGCTTCAATTTAAAACTGAAGCAACAGAAAATGCTTCAATTCAAAACTGAAGCACAGAAAATGCTTCAATTCAAAACTGAAGCACGGAAAATACTTCTATTCAAAACTGAAGCACAGAAAATGCTTCTATTCAAAACTGAAGCACAGAAAATGCTTCTATTCAAAACTGAAGCACAGAAAATGCTTCAATTCAAAACTGAAGCACGGAAAATGCTTCTATTCAAAACTGAAGCACAGAAAATGCTTCAATTCAAAAATGAAGCACAGAAATGCTTCAACTCAAAACTGAAGCACAGAAAATGCTTCAATTCAAAACTGAAGCACAGAAAATAAATAAATTTTTTATATTTTCAAGTATATTTTTGTTAACAATTTCCAAAATTTCACAGCGACAGATATTTTATGATAAAATTATGACTATTATAAAAAGAAGTTATTTTCACTAATAAATATGTGATGATTCCACATTATCTGGGATTACAGAAAATGCTTCAATTTAAAACTGAAGCAACAGAAAATGCTTCAATTCAAAACTGAAGCACAGAAAATGCTTCAATTCAAAACTGAAGCACGGAAAATACTTCTATTCAAAACTGAAGCACAGAAAATGCTTCTATTCAAAACTGAAGCACAGAAAATGCTTCTATTCAAAACTTAAGCACAGAAAATGCTTCAATTCAAAACTGAAGCACAGAAATTGCTTCAATTCAAAACTGAAGCACAGAAAATGCTTCAATTCAAAACTGAAGCACAGAAAATTAAATAAATTTTTTATATTTTCAAGTATATTTTTGTTAACAATTTCCAAAATTTCACAGCGACAGATATTTTATGATAAAATTATGACTATTATAAAAAGAAGTTATTTTCACTAATAAATATGTGATGATTCCACATTATCTGGGATTACAGAAAATGCTTCAATTTAAAACTGAAGCAACAGAAAATGCTTCAATTCAAAACTGAAGCACAGAAAATGCTTCAATTCAAAACTGAAGCACGGAAAATACTTCTATTCAAAACTGAAGCACAGAAAATGCTTCTATTCAAAACTGAAGCACGGAAAATGCTTCTATTCAAAACTGAAGCACAGAAAATGCTTCAATTCAAAACTGAAGCACAGAAATGCTTCAACTCAAAACTGAAGCACAGAAAATGCTTCAATTCAAAACTGAAGCACAGAAAATTAAATAAATTTTTTATATTTTCAAGTATATTTTTGTTAACAATTTCCAAAATTTCACAGCGACAGATATTTTATGATAAAATTATGACTATTATAAAAAGAAGTTATTTTCACTAATAAATATGTGATGATTCCACATTATCTGGGATTACAGAAAATGCTTCAATTTAAAACTGAAGCAACAGAAAATGCTTCAATTCAAAACTGAAGCACAGAAAATGCTTCAATTCAAAACTGAAGCACGGAAAATACTTCTATTCAAAACTGAAGCACAGAAAATGCTTCTATTCAAAACTGAAGCACAGAAAATGCTTCTATTCAAAACTGAAGCACAGAAAATGCTTCTATTCAAAACTGAAGCACGGAAAATGCTTCTATTCAAAACTGAAGCACAGAAAATGCTTCAATTCAAAAATGAAGCACAGAAATGCTTCAACTCAAAACTGAAGCACAGAAAATGCTTCAATTCAAAACTGAAGCACAGAAAATAAATAAATTTTTTATATTTTCAAGTATATTTTTGTTAACAATTTCCAAAATTTCACAGCGACAGATATTTTATGATAAAATTATGACTATTATAAAAAGAAGTTATTTTCACTAATAAATATGTGATGATTCCACATTATCTGGGATTACAGAAAATGCTTCAATTTAAAACTGAAGCAACAGAAAATGCTTCAATTCAAAACTGAAGCACAGAAAATGCTTCAATTCAAAACTGAAGCACGGAAAATACTTCTATTCAAAACTGAAGCACAGAAAATGCTTCTATTCAAAACTGAAGCACAGAAAATGCTTCTATTCAAAACTTAAGCACAGAAAATGCTTCAATTCAAAACTGAAGCACAGAAATTGCTTCAATTCAAAACTGAAGCACAGAAAATGCTTCAATTCAAAACTGAAGCACAGAAAATTAAATAAATTTTTTATATTTTCAAGTATATTTTTGTTAACAATTTCCAAAATTTCACAGCGACAGATATTTTATGATAAAATTATGACTATTATAAAAAGAAGTTATTTTCACTAATAAATATGTGATGATTCCACATTATCTGGGATTACAGAAAATGCTTCAATTTAAAACTGAAGCAACAGAAAATGCTTCAATTCAAAACTGAAGCACAGAAAATGCTTCAATTCAAAACTGAAGCACGGAAAATACTTCTATTCAAAACTGAAGCACAGAAAATGCTTCTATTCAAAACTGAAGCACAGAAAATGCTTCTATTCAAAACTGAAGCACAGAAAATGCTTCAATTCAAAACTGAAGCACAGAAATTGCTTCAATTCAAAACTGAAGCACAGAAAATGCTTCAATTCAAAACTGAAGCACAGAAAATGCTTCAATTCAAACTGAAGCACAGAAAATGCTTCTATTCAAAACTGAAGCACAGAAAATGCTTCTATTCAAAACTGAAGCACGGAAAATGCTTCTATTCAAAACTGAAGCACAGAAAATGCTTCAATTCAAAACTGAAGCACAGAAATGCTTCAACTCAAAACTGAAGCACAGAAAATGCTTCAATTCAAAACTGAAGCACAGAAAATTAAATAAATTTTTTATATTTTCAAGTATATTTTTGTTAACAATTTCCAAAATTTCACAGCGACAGATATTTTATGATAAAATTATGACTATTATAAAAAGAAGTTATTTTCACTAATAAATATGTGATGATTCCACATTATCTGGGATTACAGAAAATGCTTCAATTTAAAACTGAAGCAACAGAAAATGCTTCAATTCAAAACTGAAGCACAGAAAATGCTTCAATTCAAAACTGAAGCACGGAAAATACTTCTATTCAAAACTGAAGCACAGAAAATGCTTCTATTCAAAACTGAAGCACAGAAAATGCTTCTATTCAAAACTGAAGCACAGAAAATGCTTCAATTCAAAACTGAAGCACAGAAATTGCTTCAATTCAAAACTGAAGCACAGAAAATGCTTCAATTCAAAACTGAAGCACAGAAAATTAATAAATTTTTTATATTTTCAAGTATATTTTTGTTAACAATTTCCAAAATTGCACAGCGACAGATATTTTATGATAAAATTATGACTATTATAAAAAGAAGTTATTTTCACTAATAAATATGTCATGATTCCACATTATCTGGGATTACAGAAAATGCTTCAATTTAAAACTGAAGCACAGAAAATGCTTCAATTCAAAACTTAAGCACAGAAAATGCTTCAATTCAAAACTGAAGCACAGAAAATGCTTCAATTCAAAACTGAAGCACAGAAAATGCTTCAATTCAAAACTGAAGCACAGAAATTGCTTCAATTCAAAACTGAAGCACAGAAAATTTAATAAATTTTTTATATCTTCAAGAATATTTTTGTTAACAATTTCCAAATTTCAAGTTTCTTGCTCCTTTCAAAATTTTTGCCCACGGCACTATGATTTATCGAGGGATGGGGTGGATTTCTCGACCAAATTCTTCAACTTTTTGTCAATGAACAATTCGTCAATAAGGCATTATTTTCGGAGCAGTTCATTTCAGTCTCTCAGTCTTTATTTTATATACCTCGTTCCAGCCTCAATGAAAGGGTATAGACAGATTAGAAGGGATTTAGAAAATATTTGGTGATTAACAGGTATAAAATGGATTTGCGCGGGTTAAGAAGACTATCAGAGGATTTGTAAGGTTTAAAGAATATAAGGGATTAAGAGGATTTTAACGAGATACTGAGGAAAGGAGATACTTTTAAGGAGATACTGAGGGTTTTGAAGATTAAATTGGATACCGGTGGATGTGTAAGGAGTAAGATCAATATCCTGAGATATATGAGGATTAAGCGAGATATCTGGGGATTTTTAGGGATATACAAGGATTTTAAAGGGATAGGGGGATATATTTATTCAATATTTTTGGAAATTTTGCATATTTCAGTTCATATTAGAGTTCGACACCGGGCCGGGCCCGGGACCGGGTTTTCCGGGCCCGGTAGCCCGGAAACCGGGTATTTTGATAAAATCCGGTTTTTCGGGGTTTCCGGGTTTTCGGGGTTTTTAGCCCGGAACCCGGCCCGTGTCGCATCTGAAAACCCCGAGCCCGGCCCGGGTCCAAGTTTGAGTAAATTTTAAATAAAATTCTGACTTTTTGGCCAAATCTAGCTCACTAAACATACAAAAAAGGAAAAATTTTCGCCTGCGGCGCCAAAAAAGGGAAGAAATCTACTTCTTTACATCCAAAATTCACAAAATTTTAGCCTGAGGGGCTGAAAATTAATAAATCAGGTAAATCAGGCATTCTGCCTTTGCGGATGTTACCTGATTTCTTAATTTTCAGCCCCTCAGGCTAAAATTTTGAGAAGGCATTCTGCCTTTGCGGATGTTGACAACGTCGTCTCGACAAAAGTGACGTTGACGACGTCGTCTCAACAAAAGTGATGTTGACGACGTCGTCTCGACAAAAGTCACCACCGATAACCCACTTAATCATGTCAAATCCCTTGATACTCCGATATCGCTTCAAATCCTCCTTATTCAGGATGTAGGTATTGAGTGATGACCTCAAATTTTTATAAATTTCTATTTAAAATAAGGAAATTTTGGAAAAAAGCTAAATTCGAAGAATTTTTCTAATTTTGAAAAAACCGGGTCCGGGCCCGGGTGTAGAAAAATCCGGTTTTTCGGGGTTTCCGGGTTTTCGGGGTTTTTAGCCCGGAACCCGGCCCGGGTCGGGGCGGAAGAAAAAAACCCGGATACCGGGCCCGGCAAATTGAAAATGTCGAACTCTAGTTCATATTTTGGGACTTTTATGTGCATATTTTGCGATTTTGCGTGCATTTTTTCCCTGCCCTGATTATAAGATATTTTTAATTTTAAAAACAGGGCAAATGTTTTTTCAAAATTGTCTTTAATTGCATCATAATATTCTTTATGATTGGCAGTCAAATGTTTAAGTTTATTTATTGATTTATTTATTAAATATCCGGCTAATTTTTTTATTATTTTTTTGGCTTTTATTTCCTATTATAATTCATATATTAATAAGAAATATACTTATATAATTATTTTTTCTGTTTAGTTTTTAATTCTTATTTATTTTTTTTTAACTTTTCAATAAAATCCAATTTATTTTTTTTGATTATCTTATAAAAAAAATAAAATATTTACCTATTTTTCGTTAATTTTACTATGTACATCTGTATTTACTGTTAATAATTGAGAATTTTGAAACATAGTCTCTTGAAACTACAATTTTACCTATAAATTATCATTTATTTATATAAATGAACATTTATTATTTAATAATTTATTATTCTTTTATAATTTTTTAATCTCTTTATATATATTTAATTAAAAATTATTTTTTTATTTATCAATTATAACAGTTTGTCAAAAATATTAGACAGACAGACATTTATTTTTTATTGATTTCTTTTGTCCTTTTATTTTATTATTTTTAGAATATTTTTTTCCTTTAAATAAAATATTTGAGTTATTTTTAATTAAATAGTTAGGGAAATATAAAAAACTTTTAAAAATTATACAAGTGTTCCACATAATCTTAACCTTACACGAAATTTTCTTTTCTCGACTTCTACCGCATCAATCTGACTTATTTTCAATTTATATTAATTAAAACCGGTAACAATTCATGTAAATAATTATATATCTTTTCAGACCTTTACCAATTTATTAAAAAATAAAGATTTCCATATCACATTTCTAAATACTTATAAAGTAATAATTAGGTTATTATTCTTTCGATATTGCCCAAAAACTGTATAATTTACCAAAATATTGCATTTGCTGATTAATATATAAAATAAAAATTTACTATTTTATTCAGTTTATTTTATTAAATTAAAGTTCATTTAAAAATTAATATTAAAATAAAAATAAATAAAGAATTGATGGACAATAATTTTTTAAATAAAAATAAAATAAAATTATTAATTTCTATTATTATAATATTTTCGGTTAATATAAAAAATTGTAATTGCTGTTGTAAATTTCGGGGTGAGATAACACCGTCTTTACATGAAGAAACTAAATTAGCTATTAAGTTTGTCAAAAAAATTATTTAAAAATTGTAATTAATTTTTAGATGGCATGTTAATTTAGAATGTGAAGAGTGTATTAAAGGGGGTAAATATCACCAAAAAACAGTTATAGATTCAAAAAATGGAAAAGGAGCTCGTTTTGAATTTGATTTAATTCCGGCTAGAGGAAAATATATAAAAAAGATTAACGTAAAAATTTCTTCCTTAGAAAGACTTTTTGGGCTTGAACGTGTAAGTTTTTTACCTGTTAAAAATACATGGATGCATAAATTACTTAATTTTAAAACTTTAAAAATAAAGAAAATATTATCAATTAAAAAGGAAATTAAATTAGACATGATGAAATTGGGAATGTTTTTATAGCTAATTTTGAAATATTTAAAAGATTTTAATGTTTTGAATGTTAATAAACAATGAATATGTAGTGTGTTTGAGAAAAATAAATATAAATTACATATTATTTCCCGGGATTGACAAATGATTTTTGTTATAGCTTTGTAAATTTCAAATTTAAAAATTCCTTCAAATTAAATAAAATATAAATTATTAATTTTTGGATTTAATTAATTTATTAATTTAAGACAAACACTTGGATATTAAAAAATCCAAATTGTGAACGGTTACATCGTTTCCAATTTGGGCATTTTTCGCCTTTAAATGATAAAAGCCTTTATTTACGATTTAAATTCAAAAATTCATTGGATGATAAACTTTTAGTTAAACTTGAAGAGAATGATTTAAAAATGCATTATATTGTTAATATTGTGAAGGCAAATGACAGAAAATTTATTTTGGCTAATAGAGAACTTTCTGAAGATGAATGGAAGGGTAAAACAAATATAGATGTTGATTTAACTAAATATAAAGTTATATCTTATATAAGAACTTCCAAACATTATCCAATGGTTATAAGTGTTAAAGCTGTTGGTTTTTTTAATTATTTTAAAATAAAATATTTAATTATCAGTTTAATGTTTGGGGGAAATAAATTAAATATTATTGATAAATAAAAATATAAAACTTGTAAAGTTAATCAGTTTTGACACCATTAATTAATTTATTGTTATAATTAAGACAAAAACTTTGAAAAAATTGGAGAGTTAGAGAGACTTCGAGACTGTCATTACTTAAAGTTTTGCAAAAATCTTGTAAACTAAGCAATAATAATTTATATATTTTAATATTTATTTAATAAATTTGAATAATATTTTAAAGGTACCAACAATATCTTGTGCTATTTGTAGTTTAAGAAAGAAAACAAAATTAAAAACAAATGTACAGAAATTACATATGATTCCGGGTTGTAATGTAAATATTATTTTATTTTTATCTTTTAAATTTTATTTTTCAGCATTTTGTTCATAAAAAATGTGCAAATAAAAGGTTATTAACTAATTTTATAAAATTTTCTTAATTTTATTTTTAAGAATTCGGAAAAATGCTTCACTTCATCACTATCGAAAGAAACGTCAGGCTTTATTAGAATCAGTTAAGGAAGATGAAGGGGAAGGTAAAGAAAGTCCTTCTTCTTCTGCTCCTCCAACTAATGCAGATAAAATTGAAGAAGAAGGAGATCCTCTTCCACCTCCGCCTCTTCCATCAACCCCTCCACATCACCTTCCTTCTTGTTCATCCTCTTCCTCACTTTCTACATGTTCTCATGAATCTCCAACAACGCATCTAGAAGTAGCTTCTTCTTCTTCCCATTTACCTCCTCTAGAAACAAATACGGATAATGAAAATATAACAAAAACTAATTTTGAAGATAAATGTCCGGTGATAGGTTGCAATAAAGTTGTTTTTATGAAAAAGACTTCTGCTGGAAAGTATAATTTATATTATTAGAATATAGAACGGATATTATTATTAGTCTGACATGAGCGCAAACTCTAGAATCCGGCTCTGTTCCCGGAAAATGATTTTTATTATATCTGTATATGTATACTAATAGGCAATAAAAATTATTTTTGAATTAATTTTAATTTTTAGAGAATCTATTATTTTCAACAAAAATAATAAATTAAGAGAAAAGAAAGTTTTTGAAGCACATTTAGTTATGCCTATTTTGCAGGTATTTTTAAAGAAAAATTAAATTTATTTTTAAATTAAAGAACGGTCAAAGTCCCGAATATACTTATTTATTCGAACCGAAACGACCAACATTTCTTAAAAAAGTAAAATCTATATTTAAAAATATTAATCACAATCAAGTTGATGAAGATGAAATTATAGAAGAAATTGTAAATAATGAAGCTGAAGAATTGCGGTTAGATGGAAGGAGTTTTAGAGAAGGATTTGGAAGTAGGAGAATTGAAGGAGTTCCTGTAGTAGATGAAAGTACACAAACTGGTCATTTTAATAAATATTACAAAATTAAAATTATTATTATTATGTTAATTAAGGTAGAGACTAAGTTTAGTAATAATAAATATTCCGTAATAATATTGTCACTTTATGGGTATATGTCAATTTATATCAGCGTTTTTCCTTCCAAAAAATTTCAGAATTTCTAGGATATGTTTTGGTAAGGAAATATGGTCGAATATCCATAAAGTGACATTTATTTGTAAACACCTCCTCTAGTCGCCGTCCTAACTTATTTGCCATCTTATTTTATATTTTTAATAGATCCAGAAATATCTGAACAAACAACAGAAAATGTACAGGGTGAGGAGTCTAAAGGAGTGGAAGAATCTGTTGAAAATCCAGAAAATAAAGATTCGGATTCTCAAATAAATACTGAAAATCAAGAAAATAGTGAAATTAAAAATAAGGAAGAAGAATCGAGTAAAAAAGGAAAAGAACCAATTGAACAAATACCAGAAAAAGGCGAAGGGTCAACGAGTACTAATTTAGAAACAAATGAAAATAAACCGGAAACAATTAATGTCTCTTATGAAAAATCAACAAGTTCGGAAAGTGATTCGGAAAGTGAATATGTTATTTATAAAAATGAAAAACTTAAAATACATCGCGAAAAAAGTAAAAATATATAATTTTTTGAAAACTGGCAAACGAAAATTAAAAATACGTTAACCTAATATTTAACCTAAAATTCAAATTTTAATCAAATTTAGAGTTTTTCCGTTTTAAATAAGTATAATCTAATCGGCATCAGGGGCGGGCGCATTGCGTTATTTGCGTTAAATTTTGGCCTTGCGTTGCGTTTTGCGTAAATTTGGCCAAAATTAACGCAAAAAATGCAAAAATATACCCAATCTGAGGGCAAAAATTAAAGAAATCTGTCTTCATATTCTCCTCAATTCTCAAAATTTTCGCCAGCGGCGCAGAAAAAGAAGAAATCTGGAAGATACTTCCAAATAATATTCCTCCTCCTCCTACAACTTTAATTTGTTAATTTATTTTTACATAATTTGTTTAGAAAAAAAGCATTCATCACCTAAACAATCAAATAATAATACTTTACATTTACAACAACCTTCTAATCAATTTCAACCACAAACTTCTCAATATCCTTATTGTAATTATTTAATTATTTAGATTATTTTATAAAATAAATTTAAGATTATCCTGTAAGTGATGAAACTGTAATTGCTGAATTTTATCAGGAATTTTTCCGAAAGTATGGATGGGGGAATGATGAAGATAATACAAATAATTATTAAAAAAAGAGTTTTTTAATTAAGTAAAAATATTTTGTAAATTTATGAAAAATAATTGTGTAATACATACATATACCTTTAATTTTTTTAGGTTGAGACATAAATAATGAGCCCCCCTTGTGCTAAACGGATTAAATAATTATTAAAGTTCAACTAAAAGTTTTCAGACTTATTTGCGTTAAATTTTGGCCTTGCGTTGCGTTTTGCGTAAATTTAGTTTTAGTTCAAAAAAAAAGTTCAAAAAAAAAGTTTTTTTTTTAAAAAAAAAGTTTCAAAAACTTTTTTAGTTCAAAAACTTTTAGTTCAACTAAAAGTTTTCAGACTTCGAATTATATTTTTTTATGATCCTAAGAGAGTTGCCTCAGAATCCTAGGATTAATTTGGCAGGAGTTAGAGATAAAATACTAATACTCTCAACCTAATTATAACAAATCAAAGAATTTTTGTTTAATTTCTCAATTAATTTTGTTTCAATTCTTTAAAGTTTTTTGATCTTTCTATAATTAAAATTAAATTTTTTTTCTTTCTTTCATCTGTTGCCTATTTAAAAATTAAACAATAAAACGTTGCATTTCTTTTTTTAAATTTCCTTTTTTTAATTTTAATCAATTATAATTTTATGTTTTGTCGTTTAAATTAAAAGTAGTTCAATTTAAAATTAAATTAAAATTTATATAAACTATTTTTGAACTCTTTTTTTTAATTTGAAATTATTTTCTAAAATTAGAAACAGTCGAGAGTCCAGTCTTCCTTTTTGCATTTTTTCTCCTTTACTTCCTTCCCCTCCCCCTCTCTCCCCCCCCCCCTTCCTCCAACACCAATCATTCGGAAAGTGATTTTTAGGCGCCGATATCTTTTAAATTAAAGTTGAATAGTAACAAAACTATCAGAATTGAAACGAATGTATAGACATAATCCACAATTTTATTTCAAAAAAGTATTTGAATATACACGTAGTCTCTTTCTCTAAAATCCTCAATTCGAAGTCCCAACTTCGGCCACCGAAACTGCACATTAAATAATTTCTCATTCATAATCTGCGCCTAAAAAACAATTAGTAACTTCTAATTCCCCTTTCCAACTTCTTCCTCCCCTTCTCTCATCATCAATTCACGTGTATTTAATCATTCCCCTTTATTCCTACAAAACCAAATAATTTGGACTATTTCTGTTCTTTTGCATTTTAACAGAAATTTTATATCCAAAATTAACATCTGATCTTTCCTTCCCAAAAATTTGATTGATCGAGTTAATTAAAATTTCAAAAAGGAACAAAAAAAGTAAAAAGAACGTGTGTTCTTTACACGCGCCTTTTAATCCCGTGCAGGTTCTGTGAAATGATGCCAAAAATGTCTGTCTTTTGTCAACCGAGTGGAATGTGTAAAAAAAGGTAAGTAAATTATTTTAATATATATAAATTTAAAAAAAAAGATTTTTTAAATTACTATAATCATTCAAAATTATTTTAAACACAAAAAATTAAAATGTTAAAATTTTTAAATTTTTTATTTAATTTTTATTTAAAAATTAGTTCCCCTATTTTTAATATAAAGAATATATTTTTAAGTTTTTGACATAAACTATTAGTTTGTATCGAATATTTTATTGAAAACTTTAGTAAAATAATTTCAAATACTACTATATTTATAAATCCAAAGTTTTTTTTGAAATTTTTTTCCTCATTTTTATTTAGTTCCGGAATTAAAATTTGGGCAATTATTAAGTTGTTTTTGTTTGTTTATTTAAAAAATGTCTGTCCACATTTTAAAAAAATATAGCTAATAAATAAATTTTTAATATAAAACTAAGACAATTTTTATATAATATTTATTTAAAAAAAAATTTAATTATAAAAAATATTTTTAAGTTATCTACAACAAAAATATTTGCTTTCAAAAATATTTTTTAAAAACAAATTTCCTCTTTTATTAAACAAAAAATGCCAAAATCTATTAAATTTCTTTCAATTATTTTTATTTTATTTAATTTTGTTTTTACTACAATATTATCCTTTAAATATCCTGAATTAATTGAATCTTTAAATAAAAAATTAGAACCTTGTAATGATTTTTATAAATATGTTTGTGATGGATTTGATAGGAAAAATATACCTCGGTAAAAGAAAATTAATTTTAAAAATTGTTAACTATAACTCCACCATGATTTTTTGAGTTTAAACATGATTTTAAAGCCCAACTTAACTGAAACTATTATAAAATGATATCTATATTCAATGTTCTATATTCAATTATCTATATTCAATGTTACTCAGAAAATAATTTTTTAATTAATGAAAAATTGAAAATTTTTAAAAAAAGAATTAAAAATTTTTGAAAAAATAGGTGCTTCATAACTATAACTCCACTTAAAGAAAATTGCTTCAAAACATTAGGAAAAACCTATAAAAATTCCAGCAAACATATATTTTGATCTCGTGAAAAGTCGAAAAATCAGGGCAGAGTTATAGTTATGAAGCAGGGCCTAATAATAAGAGAAATTTTTGTTAATTTTAATTACCGGTTAGGGAAACTTTTGGAATTTTAATTTATATTATATCAATAATTTTAATTAATTAAAGTTATTAAAAAAATTTTCATTTATCATTTCAGTACTGATTGTTCAGAAATAAGTACAACAGCCTCTAGACGTCAACAAACACAAAAAATATTGGAAGGTTTTAAAATAAAAATTATTCAAAAATTTATTTAAAAAAATTTTAAAGATTTACTTGCCAACCCTCCACCTTCAGTCCCCAATTTACCTCAAAATTTAATTCAAAAACTTTACGGATTTCACAGTGCCTGTATTCAATCATCAAATAAACTAACTCAAAGCAGCGATGTTATTCTTTCAAAATTAAATATTTTAACACAAAAAGGAAATAATAATAAAAGATTGTTTGATACAGATTGGGCTTTGAAAGCTTTCCCAATTAATGTTTTCTTTCAATTAACACCTTTATTTAATACAAATAAACCTAGAACTAATTTAATGAGAAAATCATTAGGTAAAAGAATAATTAAATTAAAAAATAAATTTTATTTTTATTTTTTTAAATAGGTGTCCAACCAAAATCTTTAATTTCAAATTATAGAGAAAGAAACATAAATAAAGTAAATTTAAATAAATATTTTTTAAAAATTATTATCCTTTAATTTTAAAGAGAGAAGAATTATTAGCTACTCGTTATGGAATGATTATCCAAAATTTATTGGAAGATGATGTTTGGTATTCATTAAAACAAAATATCCAACCCGTCTTGTTACCCTCAAATAATTTATTTAAAGTAATTCTGAAATTAAAAAAATTTTTATATAAAATTTTTAAAATTTAAGGGAGAAATAATTCCAAATTGTAATGGAACTCAAGTTAAAGAATTAATTCTTTCTGAGGCTGAAAGGCGTGTTAGAAATTTATTTAAAGTTGAAAATAAATTGGCAAAACAATTAGGTTAGAGAAAATTGAAAAGTTTGGAAATAATTTAAATTTTTTAAAATTATTAGACTTTAATTCAATATACGATAGCGGCCCTTCTGGCTCCAAAAATTATTTAAAACTTTCACAACTCGATACACCCAATGCTTTTATTTCTGCTTTTAATTGGACCAAATTTGTTCAAAATCTTCTTTCGCCTGTTGGACTTGTTGTAGATTCTCAAACAGAAATTCATTTATCAGACCCTTCTTTACTTCAAAGGATGGGGAAAATAATTGGAGAATTTAGTGAACAAGAAATATCTGATTATTTGGATTGGAATACTTTGTGGACTTTTATGCCACAAATGGATAAAAGATATACTTTACATTATGTTAATTCTAAACCTCCAAAAGGTAAATGGGGAGAAAATTAGCTTTATTTTTTTAATTATTTTTGAAGAAAATTATAAGCTAGTAATTCTCTCGATGAAGGGAATTTAGAATAAATAACGGGAGGGGGGAGGCTGGGGGCTAGGGGCTAGGGGAAATTAAATAAAAAGGAAAAGAAATGGGAATATAAAATTTAAAAAACTATTATTTTTTAGTTGAAGAAGAAGTCCCAGCTTCCCCAAATTATAAAAGATGTGCAATGACAAAAAGTTGGATGACAACAAACGAAAATGTGAAAAATTTGTTGAATGGTATTTTCCCCAAATATTTGATAGATTATATTTGTCTAAACATCTGGAAAGTGGAGTACGTACAGAAATTGGGAAAATATATTCGAGTGTTTATTCGGAATTTAAAAGAATGTTGGAAAGTAAGGGAGAAATTTATACTTAAATTTAATTTTGTTGGGAGAGTATTGAAAAAACCACTCCAAAAAGTATGAGAGAAAGGAACTTAATTTTTTACTAAAATTAAATTTATATTAGAGAAACTATAATTAATTTATTTAAAAATTTATCTTCTTTAATTTTAAATAAAAATTGTTAACATTTTTAAAGATAATCCTTGGCTCGATACAATTACAAAAGGAAAAGCTTTAACAAAATTACAAATGTTGCAGGCAAATGCTGTTTATTTTGAAAGAATATTCGATAATAACTATTTGGAAGGAATTTATAAACATTATAATCCACTTAGAACAGATGTGCCTTTTGCAGAAATGGTTCATACCTTTGAAGGTATTTTTTTAAAAAGAATTTACCAATCCTTAAATTTAAAGGTGCAAGTTTTCTTCGTCAAATGGCAACAAATGATTATTACGATTCTTCCTGGCTCGTTAATGCTTATTATAGTAGAGAAACAAATGCTTTAGTCTCCCTAAATGGATACTTAAACCCTCCGATTTTCAGCAAAGATTTTTTGGCAGTTATGAATTATGCTGGAATTGGGGTAACCCTTGGGCATGAATTAAGTCATGCTTTTGATGATTGGGGGTCTTATTATAATGGTAATGGGCAAATGGAGGATTGGTTAGGTCCCCAAATGAGGGCAATATTTCAAAAAAAGAAGGAATGTTTTGTTAAACAATATGGAAATTCTAAGGTAGATTTTTTTTGGAATTAATGAAAAAAAAATTAAGAGGATGCTGAAATATATTTTAATTTAATTATTAAATTTATAGGTGCAAATAGACGGTGTTTGGATTAACTTAAACGGAACTTTAACCGTTAATGAAAATATTGCCGATAATGGAGGATTAAATGCTGCCTTTAAAGCATGGCAAGTACTAAAAAGAAGTTCGTCTTCACTCGATCAAAATATTTTTGGGAAAATTGATGGGCTTGAAGAATTTAATGGAGATCAATTATTCTTTATTCATTATGCCTTTGTAAATATTTTTTACCTAGAAAAATTATTTTTTTTATTTTTTAGCGTCAATGTTCTCGTTTGGGTTCAACATGGCTTAGACAAAGAATAATGACTGAACAACATTCTGTAGTGCCTGCTAGAGTAAATATACCTCTTCAAAATTCTCCACATTTTGCTAAAATTTTTGCTTGCCCTACTGGTTCTCCGATGAATCCAGTAGAAAAATGTGCAATTTGGTGAAGAATTTATTTGAAAAGATACTAAAAGAGCAATAATTTATAAATAAAAAATGCCATTAATTTTTTTGATATTTTTGTATTTATTTTTTGTATTATTTTTGTATTTTTAATAAATTTAAATATTTATTGGAATTGTAGCCTCACCAAGACAGTCGTATCTCGTTATTAGTATCTCATTAATCGGTTATGTATTTTCCCCACAACTAATGACCATCTACTTCTAAAAAGTATATTATGTATACAACAATGTTTGACTCGATTAAAAAATCCTTTAAAATAAATCTAACAAAATATAAAATTTATAAAAAATAAATTTATATAAAAATATTTTTAAAAATAAATAAATCTGTTTTTAAATGATTATTTGGGTAGGTTAGTTAACTTAGACGAAAACATTGTCGCTAAAACTAACAATATTTCTGCAAGCTCATGTAAGTTAAACAATTTATGTTCACAAGAAACAAAATTTTGAAGAGAAGTTCCGATGGTTTTTTCCCATCTATCAGATTAGTCGGGACAATTTTAGGGAATATGCTGTATATATAAGTTCTGAGAAAAATTTTGTTCAGGTCAGGGCTGGACGCAACTATGGATTGCGTGAATTGCGGAAAAAGAAATTTTTTGCGTCCAGTCCTGGTGCAGGTTCACATACATATGTAATTCTAACAAATTTAGAAAATTATAATTATCAATTGAGAGGATGGGGTGTTTGTATATCACAAATATTATAGGAAAAATCACTCATTCTCAACAACTTCAATATCCATTTCTTCCTTTCTAACTTCTCTTAAAATACTTAAATGATATTTCTTCAAATGACTTCTGAGGGCATTTGTTGATTTCATATTTTCTTTAATTATTTTTTTGTATGGACAATAACGACATCCAATTGTTTTTTCTTCAAAATCGAAGAATTTTGCATATTCAATTTTCTAAAATAAAATTAATTAAATTAATTTTTTATTTAATTAATTTATTTAAGATTTTAGAAAAATAAATTTAAATAATATTTCCTCCCTTTTATCAATAAATATTAGAGACAAGAGACAGACATAGGGCCATTTTCTTTGACAATTAATCGTTTTTTTTACCAAGTCCCTAATAAATATCTAAAAAAAATTTTCTTAATTTTAACCTTTTCTTTATTTGGATTATTTGCCAAAAGTGTAAAAAGTTTTTTTTCATTTTTATTCCAATTTTTACACCCTTCACAAGAACTTAAAAATAATTTTATTTGTTCTATAGTGATGTTTGCAAACTGAAAAAAAATATTTTTTAATTTTCAAAGGAACTTTTTTCAATTAAAACCTTATTTTTAATCATACTGTACATAGACATACTCCTTCCATGTCTAGTATCCATATGTATTTTATACAAAACATCAAAAATTTGTTCGTTATAAAGAAAAAGCCTTTCAGAATCTTTACGTTCTGCCAACATTTCAATTATGTTTTCTTCCCCAAGTTGAACAATTTTATATTTTAAATAAGGTTTTTTATTTAAATTTGTTGGTGTGGACATTGAAGGAGAGGAAGAGGAATAATTTGTTGTTGAAGAAGAAGAAAATGAGGGGTAAAATTGGGGGGATAAAATATTATTTTGATTATCTTCTATTATTCCTTCTCCTTCACTAATATCATTTCCAAATTGTCTAACATTTTCAATCATTGCCAAATATTTATCACGAGAAAGTAAAATCTGTTTACGTTTACTAGTCCAATGATTTAAAGTAAGCTCTTTGAGAAAATTAATTCTCCAAGGAGCTATTTCTTTTTCCTAAAATAAGACAAAAATATTATTTAAGTAAAAACATTAATTAAATTCGTAAAATATAAATACCAAAAACTTTTAAGTATAAGTTCAGAATGGAAATAGGTAGTATGGGGTTAGGGGTTAGGGTGTAAAATGTTTCCTAGAGAAGCATCATTTTTTAAACTTATATCCAAATAAAGATAAAATTTTTGTTGTCAAAAAGTTTCACAAGGTTCTTAGACTAGTAAGTGAATCGAAGGACCAAAATTTCGAATTTTCAAAATATTTTGGCAATTTAAATTTAGGGAAACTTGTCATAGGTGGGGAAGCCTAATACACAATTACGAATTCATATGCAGATTTTTAAAATAAAATAAAGCTGCGGATTAATTTAAAAAATTTTTCTCTTGCCTCTTCTTCCCCAATAGGCCAACTTTCTTTTGTATACCCAAAAATTATTTTAACACTATCACTATCATCAAAACTATCATCAACATTATTCAATTCATTTATTTCTTCCCCTTCATTTTCTTCAATTGAAATATTTCGAAATTCTGTTGGACTTAAACTGTTTTGTAAAACATTTCCCAAATTATAAATATTTTTTACATGTCTAAAAATAATTAAAAATAAATTAATTTTTAATTTATTTTTAATAAATAAGAAAATACCTATTAATTAATGCTTGTGACATTGTCCCAAATCTAGCAATTAATTCTCTAGAAATTGCTTCATTTAATTTATCTGAATATTCCGAATTAGGTAAAACTAATTGTTTGTGTATATAATACAAATTTGGAATTTCTGAATTTTTTGACGACATAAATAGTCTTTTTTTTTGAATTTATGAATAAATTTATCTTAAAATATTTTTATTAAATTAAATAATAAAATTTTGAAAAAAATTGGAAATGTCCTAATTTTAAAGTATAATTATTTCTACAATTTTAAATTTTCTTTTAATTAAAAATCAGCTAAAAAAATTTTTAATCTTTGAATTTTTTTAAAATTAAGAAATATATTAAAAATAATTATAACAATAATTAGTTATTTATTTACATATTAATAAATGTAAAATTCAGGATAAGAAAATTTAATTAATTAAAATAAATTTTATAAATAATTTCAAAATCCTTTAAATTAGATGATAAAATAAGATAAATTTTTAAAAAAGTAAATTTAACCCCAATAAATATTTTTAAAAATACTATTTTGTTTGATCTGCTTAATATTAAGGTAAGGGCATCTATTAACTAATATTTAAAATTAATGAAATTTAAGAATAAAGCTTTGAAAATGTACCTTTTTTCCTTCTCCCCTCTCTCTCTCCCCCCCCCTCCCCCCCTTCTCCCTCCTCTCCCCCCCCCCCTTCCCCTCTTCCCTCCCCCCCCCCTTCCCCCCTCCCTTTCCCCTCTCTCCCATTTGCCTCTATTACCTTTTTGCCAAGATAGACAAGGAATAAGCGCGACGCAAATGCTTGATAAATTTTATTGCTTTAATGGAAAAAATTGATTGATTTAATTAAAAAAAGCAATTATGTTTAATAAAATTGTTTTAAATTATTTGTTAATTAAAAAAGTTAAACTTGGTAAAAAAACATTTTATAAATGATATTGCTGTCTTGGAAGTTACCGAAGCTGATAATGATTTTAAACTTTTGCGCTGGGCGACTTTTGCGCCGCCACTAATATTAAAAATATATGAATAACTACAGCCGGACCTCACTATGGTAATTGTGTACAGCCGGACCTACTATAGCAGCACTCACTATAGTGCACATGGCAAAAAATCATGCCGAAATAGGGTTAGCAGATCCAAATATCCTGATCCGAAAAAGTCAGCACATCGAAAATCATTTGGGATACAGATCCGGAGACTTACTTTTATGGCTCCACTTACTTTTATGGCCCAGACCTCATTCATCAACTACCGGATCTTTTTTCCTTCAATTCCTGTATACTATACTTTAAACACAAGAAGTACAATATAGTTAGGTCCAATTGTAGTTATTTATTTTAGTTTTTTATTATCGCGGCGCATAAGCCGCGGCGCAAATGTTCTCGGCGCAAAAGTCGTGATACCCTTTGAATAAATACTTTATTCCTGCAAAATAAAGCAACATCTATTCCTGCAACATCTAAGCTAGAATATGGCAAATAAATCTAAATAAATCTGAATTTACAAATAATAATTGCCTCTTAGTCAACAAATTTTTAATTTTTCAATACATATTTTTAGGTTTTCAGTTTATGGCAAATTTTTCGCTGAATAGCTTTTAGAGAATGTTGTATAGATTTCATATTATAATGAATATTCTGACATTTATAATTCATAAAACCCGTTCCTAGTGAATAAGTTTTTAGAACTTGGTTTATCCTAAAATTATTTTGTTTTGAATATTGTTAGAATAAAAACATGATAGTTTATGTATATTAGTATTTTCAATTAAATCAAAAATTGAATTAAATCAAAAACAAACTTTGCTTTTTTTTTGCTATTATTATTTAATTATTATTGGCATTTATTAAACATTATTTATTAAGAAATTTTAAAATCTAAAATAATAAATCCTTAAACATGTATATGTATGTATGTATTAAAAATTATTACCCATTAAATAATATAATTTTTTAATGCCTTGTAGTTGTTTGAAAATTAAAGACATATATTTAATAAATATAATATATAGCAAGGCATAGTTTATAGTTGTAAGAGATTCGTAAAGATAGGTCTCCCCATCCCTCCCCTTCATCTCTCCCTCTCTCTCTCTATCCCCCAATATAGGCAAGAATATAAGCAATAAAGGATCAATTAATCAGATTCATCTAAGTGAATAAACTTGATCAATTGATTATTCAATATGTCAAAATTTAAAAATTTAAATTAAAATATATATTTTATTAATTAATGAAAGATTAAAACTAATATCCGTAGAAAAAAGTTCAAAAAACAGTTTATACAAACACATTTATGTTTGTCAGTAATACATATCAGTAATATAATGTTGTAATTAATGTTAAAGACCTTTAGTCATGATTAGATCAAGATTTTTGGACATATATAATGCTTTTGGAATGTAGAATATTAGAAAACAAATCGTCTACGGCGCTAAAAATCTAAAATTCTGGTGATTTATGAATCAAAAAAACATAAAAAAATTTTGATTTTTTGGTTATTTCATAATTATGAGTAAACAAGAGGTGTTAGTAGGAGTTACGAGGTCAGAAATAGGGCCAGGGTAAGAATACCCTGCCCATATTTTAAGAATAAAATATGGACAGGGTTTCAAGTACGAGGCCAAAATTATGAGTGGTACAAAGTACGAGTTCCAGGCACTGGTCTTCACAAAGGCCAATAAGCCTGATTTTTTTATATTTTGACTGGGGGAGGGCAAATCTTGATACCCAACTTATTAAGAATATGTACATATAACATTTTGGTTTTCATCATTAGTTCGTGCAGAGAGTAAAGGGTTGAGTAATGGGGACCCTTTGGAATTTAAATCTTTGGATCAAGGTTTAATCCATCCAAAAACTGGTTCTTTCTGCGGGGAGTTCGTGCGAGGATGTCCTTTTGTTGGAATTTTATCATAATTAATGTCATCGTGATTCCGAAGTATTGTAATAATCAAAGACGGAGAGACAAATATCAAAATGCTTCATAAAAGCAAAATTTATCTGCGGTAATTGACAGTAAATGATGATTCATTTTCCCCAGTCTCGAGGCTATATTTTAAGCCATATTTTTAACCGATATAAAAAATTATTTTGAAGCTCTGGATGCGATTATTTTAGATAACAGGATTGCTTTCATCGGATTCTGATTATTTAAATCGGTTAGGAATCATAAATGTTATGAACCACCCACCCTTCGAGGCTTAATCAGTGATATTGAATACCGATATTGAATAGAAGTTGATTTGTAACCTTGCAAAAAATTCTGTTTTGAAAAATTTAAAAGTTTTTGTTAAATGGCTACATCGTGATTAAATCAATAGTGAAGAAACGGCGCTTTTTAGCCAAATTTGTACTCGTTTAAAAAAATTCGTACAATTGACACACTCTCGCATTTTGTACGATGTATGGGCAAAAATGTAACAAAGTACGAGACAAAAAAAACTGCTAAAATTCTGATTTTTATCACCCTATATGACATTTTTAACATTAATTTAGGGGCACCCCACCCAGTACCTTTTGGATTTTGACCTTCTGGGTTGATCCAAATTTAGGGATTATAAAGGAAAATAAGCAAATTAATATTTAAAAATGAAGGCGTTTCGCTAAAAACTAAATTTATTAATTTAGAAGAAAATTAAACATTTTCTGCATGATCCTTTCCTAAATAAATTTTGAAATTTTCCTCAAAATATAATCCTAATTGAAGAGATTTTTCAACAAAAAATAAATATTTAAAATATTTTTAATTAAAAAAACAAAAAAATTTTCTCAGAGTTTTCCCCCAATTGCCTGTAATTTTTTATATTCCGATTCCTGTACTTCCAAAGACTGCAAAATCTTTTTAGTTTTTTCATCCCTTTCTTTTCTTATTTGTCTCCTCTTCTCGATAAAAAGTCTTTAAAAAAATTAAAAATTAAAAAATTATTTTCATTTTTTCCCCTTACTTTGCAGAATTTTTAGCTTCTCTCCTTAAATATTTAATTGTATTTCTTCTTTCATTTTTTACTCTTTTTGCCCATTTCTTTTCTCTTTCTTTTGCAATTTTTGATTGAACGGCTTTTTTAGCCTTTTCTTCTTTTTCTAATTGTTCTGGATTTTCCAAATTTTTCTTTTCCTTTCTTTAAAGAAAAAAATTAAAAAATTTTTTTAATGGCAAATTAACCCAAAAAATTACTTGAATAAATGGCTGAATAAAGCAAATATTATTTTTACTGTTTTCCCTCCAAATAATTTCCCCTAGAAAGGAGGAAGTCTGACAATTCTGTACATATCAGGCCCGTAACCAGGGGGGGGGGTGAGGGGGGGAATTCCCCCCCCCCGAAATGGGAAAAAGGAAAAAATTTGGGGAAGGGCTGGGGCAAAAAAAGTGAATTTTTTGGCCTACGGCCTCTGAAATTCAAAAAATTTTCGCCTGCGGCGCTGAAAATCAAATTTTTGGCGCCTGCGGCGCCGAAAAAGTGAATTTTTTTGGCCTACGGCCTTCTAAAATTCTCAAAATTTTCGCCTGCGGCGCTGAAAATAAAAAATTTTTGGCGCCTTCGGCGCCAAAAATTTGGCGCAAAAAAATTTTCCCCCTTTCCCCCCCCCCCCGAAAAAAATCCTGGTTACGGGCCTGGTACATATGAAGGAAAAATATAAAATATATCCTGCGAACATATGGGAGGTGTGGAAGAACCGAAAATGTTTAGAGAAAAACAATTCCCCCATCTTTTAAATTTTTGTAAAAAAGGAATATCCAACTTTAACTCACCTAAATGTCAAAACCCCTAGCAAAAACAATTACCGGAGAAGGGGAAATTTTTTTAGAAAATATTTTCGAGTTAATTATTTTTTTAAAATAAACAAAAGATTATACCTTTGTTGTTCAGCTGTTTTGTTCAATTTATTTTCAATTAAAACATTGTTTGGTTGAGCAACAATTGTTGGTTGAAATTGAAGTTGATGATACTTAAAAAAAATTTTTTTAATTAATTTTAAAAATATTATTTGTTATTCCCTGAATATTTGTTACAAAAAATAATTCAAATTAAAAATAAAAATTGGACTGAAAAAATAGAAATAATTTTCTCCCCATCCCAAAAGATATAAAAATTAAAAAAAAATTTTAATTAAAAAATTACTTTAAAAATACTTTAAAAAATTTAAAATTTTATTGAGAAAAGTAAAAATAATTTTTTCTCCCTTCGCAAAAAAATTTAATAAAAAATTTTTACCAAAAAATCATAATTATCCTCCAATTCTTCCTCATCCTCCTTTATTTTATTAGATTGCCTACTAATTTGATTTAACCCTCCAAATTGTTTAATTTCTTTAAAACAAATATCCAAACGTTCAGTTTTTTCTTCCTGTTCATCTTTTAACATTGTCTTTAATGCACGCATTTGGCGGTCATGGGCAACTAATTCAGCCAAAGATTCTTTTCTTAAAAATTAATTTTAAAAATTGGAGTTTTTTTAAATAATTTTATTGGAAACAAGTTGACCAAATAAGAATTGGATTGGAAGGATTTTGAGGGAAGTCCAGAAAAAACTTAAGAAACGTTCAGGACTGGATATGAATAAAATATAAAAATATTTATTTTTTGATTTCACTAATTATTCTTATTGTTAGAAAACTTCGAATGAAATATATTATTTGTTTAATCGAATTTTTAGCCCAAAAAGTGAGCTTGGTCCCCCTATTGTTTTTCAAATTTTGGGGTCTGTATCTCAGGCCAAAGTAAAACTGGGAGCTGATTTTGGTGTCATTCAATACAGCTCGACGAGTTCGATAACCTAATAATAAGACTATTTTTTAATACTTTGAGGAAGAAAAAGGAGAGGGTACGAACACACGAATTAACTAATTAACCAGCTTTCAAATATAAAACCCAAAAAAATATTTTTTAAACAAACTTTGCCCGTTTAGATTTATTTCCAAAACTTTCGTCATCAGATCCCTCATTGCTACTTTCATCAGAATTTCCCATATTTCTCCAATGAACACGTTCTAAACCAAACCCTTCAACTTCCGATTGTTTTTGAAAATCGACATTTTTAACTAAAAAGAATTTTTGAGAAATTAACTGAACAAAACTCTTCTTTAAAAAAACCTCCAATTTCGGCATTCTTTTTTTCTGCCAACTTTTTTTGTTGGAAAATAAAACGTTTTTCTCCTTTATTTTCTTCAGAAAGTTGAGAATTACGTTGTCCAATTCTTCGATCCAAAATCTTCAGAAAAAATTTTTTTATCATTATAAAATAAATTTATCGGTAATTTTTCGTTTTATTTGCTCAAAGAATTTTAAATTTAATTGGCCCCCCTTTTTTCCTCCCAAATTCTTCCCCTATATTTTTGCAAAATGGTCCGACTTTTTCCCGTATTCCATCCGAAAAGGATTAAATAATCCTATTTGTTTGATTGTAAGCAAAAATTATAAAGGCAATTTGGAAGGAATAAAATAAAAAGTCTGAACATTTCGCAAAATAGGGGAAGAATTTGGGAGGGAAAAAAAGGGTCTGTCCGGTTCAATATTACCGACAAAAGATTACCAAAATATATTTTTAGAAAAATATGTAAATTTTAAAAATTTATTTAAAAATAAATTGATTACCTTTGACTTCCCCAAAAATCCATTTGATTGTTTAACTTTAGAATTACCCTAAAAAATAAATATTTTTTAAAAAATTTAATTTATTAAAAAAACCCCATGTTTTTTATTAAAAGCCAAATCAAAAGGATTTTGTTTCTTTTCCGTTTTTATTTCCTTATTTTGTTCTCTTTTTTGTTGTTTTTTAAATTTTGTTGGCTTTGTTTTCGGTTTTGAACGTCTTTTTCTTTTTCCTGCTGAAACACCTTTCATTTTATTTTCTCACGGATTTTCCTTAAATATTCAAAAGAAAAGAAGAATTCTCTAAATAATTATAACATCATTAAAATGCTTGATAAAAAATATTAACAATTAACAAAAAAAGTTTAACAGGCGGGAAAACGTTTAGGTATTGACGAAAAATTTATTGACGAAAGATTCAATGTTATTTTTGAAAATTTTCTGTGACGGTTCAGTGCCAGATTAATATTTCAATTAAGTAACTACTGTCCCCTTCAAAATTTCAATTTTTCATGTTAAAATTATGGGTGAGCCGTACTGAAGGATAAAAAGACAATTTAATAGGAGTAAGAGTTTATGGATTTCCTCAGATTTTTTCTATTTTTTAGTCCATTTATGCATCAGGGATCCTGCCGTCCCGATTCCCGAAAATCGGGAATTTCCGACGTTTTTTTGGGGCGGGTTCCCGATTTCCCGAAATCGGAAATTTTGGATTTTTGTAGACAGGATCCATGTTATTTATATTTACATATATTTATTTAAAAATTAAAAAAAAGTTTTTTAATTATTTTTTTTATATTTTGGCAGTTTTTTTATTGATCACACCAAAATAATTCAGTTCTAAATTAAATCATTTTCTTGTTTATTATTTTGGTTGAATTGGGCAATTTAAAAAATAATTATTAAATCTAGAAATATATAATTGCTTTGTTATGTCCTCACTAAAAATAATTTAATTGAGGGCCGTTAATTCAGAAAAAAAGGATTTTTTTGTTATTTTATGGAATACTTTTTTTAATTGACTTTAACGAACATAAATTCAAAATTGAAGAGAATATTGGGTATATAAAAATATTTAAAATATTTTTGGATTGAAAATATATTTTAAAAATAATTTCATCAATTCACACATCCATATTTTGATATTTTTTGGTGTAAAAATAAGAAGAAAAAAAATATTTTTAAATTTAAAAATATTATAAATAGAATTTATCTAGAATATATTCCAAATGGGAGCAGGCCAGTGTACCGCGAGCCCAATGTACCGCCGAGCTATAACATTGTTCAAAATTATCGAATTCGTGGCGCCCTGGTATGGTTCGGTGCGTCTCGACCAGCTGAATCGAACCATACCAGAGCGCCAGGGATTTAACAATTTTGAAGTCAAATCCGTGGCGATTTCAATTATAACATGGCGGACATTGGGCTCGCGGTACATCGGGGTGTACCCATTTCAAATAATTAAATATTCTTTTTTCTGCCCTTACATTACTTAATAATTTTCAGATTATTTTTATAGTAAAATAATGAATTATTTTATTTTCCCAAATTCAATGATTCCAATTTTCTTGCTTGGCTACTCGTTATTCACCGCTAATTTTTCTGTAGTATCACCCAAGCATTCAAATATGAATGGTTTGAATTTTAATTTAAAATCTAATTTTAATTATTTTTAAAAAATTTATTTTTAACAAAAAAATTGTTTTTTGTTTTACTAAAACAAAAGAATCTTAAATAATTTTTTAAAAATAATCTTAAAAAATATTCTAATTAATTAAAATTAATTTTTTTTTTGAAAATGATTCCATAAACGTCTCATTATCTGGTATCTTGTTAACTAATCAGGCTGATGGTTTATCCTCGTCAGAAAATGATAAAAATTTTAATCAAAGGTAAAAAATAAACAAAAAATATTAAATTTAATTAAAAGTTTTGGGGCAAATGAGATTCGTCCAAAACGAGACGAAGATGATGATACTCCTTTACATGATGATGAGGAAATTGAAAAGTCTGATATTTCTTCTTTTAATTCTTCTGATATAGAAAGTCCTTGGAATAATTCAAAAGAGGTATTTACTTTAACGTATATACTGTATTAATTACCCAGAGTAATTAATGTTTTAACTTTCGCTGGAGGGGGTAATTAAAAGGGAAGAGGATAATTATTTGAGCTTTTTTAGAAAGGCTAATTATAACTATTCTTAAGGGTACTTTATTAATATCCCGCCCCCACCCCTATTTGAGTCTCAGATTAATTTTCGTTTTTTGTCAATCATTTTTTCCTTCAAAAATTACAGGTAAAAGGCAAGTATTAGGAAGAAAAAAATAGACGGCAACCGTGAAAATGTGTCTGACGGCAAAATTTAACATTTAAAAAGAAGGAAATTTGACCGTTCCGAGGCAGGAAAAATAAAAAGGAAAAATTAATCTGAGACTCAAATAGGGGTGGGGGGCGGGATATTAATAAAGTACCTTTTTAAGATGGGTTATTTTTTCGATTTCTGGCTGGAGGGGGTAATTAATAGGGCGGGGGTAACTATTTGAGAGAGGGACATTATTTCAGCATTTACTGTATCTTTCAAATATTTTTATTTAAATTAAAAGAAAAATATCAATGTTAAAAAACGTTCCCCTTCAAAAATAATTAATTCATCTGAAAAGAAACAACATGAACAACATAAAAGAGAAGTTGAGGGAATCTCAAATGGGGAAAAAGATGATGAAACAGAAATGACTTCAAATAATGAAAGTGGATCTGTTGAATTAAAAAATGTTGGGGAAACATGTTTGTAATTATTTTTTAAAAATTTAGTGGACAAAGTTATGCAGAAAAAAATTAAAAGTTAAAGTATTAAAAAAGAAATATCGTGTATTAAATGCATATATGTAGAAAATAGTTTGAAACTCCGCGCAAAGACATGCTTGTCCCTGACCGAACTTGAATAACACTAATTTACTTCCCTTGCGAGAGCAAAAACTTTTTGGATCTTTGAATCAGATATTCGATATATGGAAGAGATTCCTTATCAGAAGAATAATAAACTATTCAAAGTTCTATAGTCCAGCTCTTGATAACACACAAGTACTTAATAAATATTTTATTCTGGCTATTTAGCAGGCCAACAAGAAGGAGAGGAAATAAAAAACGAGACAATGAAAGGGCGTAACACTCGTTCAGTTGGTGGGCTTGCTCACCGTTCCCGTGGGGCAGGACAAAAAGGCCAACAAAAATCACAGGTTATAATAAATAAAAATATTTTTAAGAAATATTTTTTAGGCTGTACGAGGCCCGAAAAGTGAAGAAATTGACTAAATAAATTAAACTATTTACATAAAATTTTTTATTAAAATAAATAAAATCACATATGTACATCTAAATTCTAGTAGATCGGGCTCTGGCCCTTTCTTTTCTTTTTTGTTTAATTTCTTTAAAAATGCTGTTCTTTAATTTTATCCTTATAAGTACTTACCTTGTTTTGATATTTAAATTATATAGATAATTTTTAACTTTCATAACAACCCAAAAGTTTGCATATTCGAATTTTCCACCCCAAAATTGAGCTTACTCCCCCCCCCTCTAAGGTTTTTAGATTTTTGGGGACCCATATCTCGGTTTTTAAATTAAATCTACGTGGACTGAGCTGAGTTATGTATGTACAAGAGGGACTCCAGAATATTAAAAAATTAACTATAAGTAAATTTCATTATCCCTCAAGTTTAATTTTTCTTAACTTTTTAATAAAATTAATTAGAAAAGTAAGCGTTTTTAAGTTTATGAGATAATTATTATTATTGTAATTTATGGGAAAATTTCATAGCATATACTTTACTCAACAATTAGACCAAACAAATTCAATTTTTCACTTGTGACATGTGTCACACATACTTGTTTACTATTGTCTACTTCAACACTCCTCATAAAACTGCCCAACATACTAAACTCGTTTCCTGTGAAACTTCTGTCCTTGCAAGGCAAACCAGTGAGAAAAATTTTTACATTTTAATTTTTTATAATTTTTTTCTAACTTTTAGAAAATTGTTTTTTAATTTTCTCTTTTACTTATCAAGTAAACTGTCTCTTGGTTTTATGCGATATTTATGCGTTATAATATTTATGTTTTAGGTTTTGCTAGGGATCGGTTAAAATCAAAATATGATTAAAATTTTGTTTAATTTTGCGGCAAAATTCGTTCAAAATGTTAATTTGAAATTATTTGTTGGATTTTAGTAAAGTCAAAAATTGTTATAATCCTTCTAGGATAGAAAATATTAAATAATTTTTCTTTTTAATAAATAAAAATAAAAGAAATAAAAATCTATTAAAAAATTAATATTATATACATAATATGAACCAAAACATTCAAAACAAATCTCCCTCTAAAAATCTTATTATTTAATTCTTTAAGTTAAGCAAACATTTTTTATTCATTTATTTGGCAGAAACAAATTTAAAAAATATCCTTATTTATGGATATAAAAACATTTGTCTTTAAAACAATAAATTTATTTACTGACACTATTGGACTTTTACTTTTTGGAAATGTTGTTTATTTAACTATAAAATATAAGTAAATTTTTTTATTTTAATAAATTAAATTTTTAATAAAATAAAAATTAAAAATAAGATTTGGGGTTGTCTTTAGTTAACATAAGATTTGTAAATTTCCCTAAAAATTGACCTGATAGAATGCTTGGAATTTGCTGATAAAAATAAAGATTTCGATATTTTTAGCAGACTTAATAACGTTTCAACCTTCCAGGGATCTCCATACACTTTGTCACATCCTTCTTGGACTTTATTCTTTATCTCATGCCTGCTCTAAAGTCGTTCTGCTACCGAATTACATACTTTATGTTCTGCAAAGCACAATTCCTACTTATATTTGTGTTTTAATTGTTCTAATACCTAGAACATTAATGATGGGCGTTTTTACATTTATGGTATCAATTGGAATTGATAGAATGCTTGGAATTTGTTTTCCTTTTTGGTTAGCTTTAAGTTGAGATCAAAATAAAGAATTCATCTCAAGACAAACCTAAAACATGCAAGAAAGTTTGGGTAAAGTATATACTCTCGAAACTTATAGTCCGTCATCTGACTAATATTTTTAAAAATATAATTTTAATTTTATTTAAAAGGTATATTCAAAATAAGAGCAAACTTTATCGGCTTTTATTAGTAGGCACACCATGTTCGTATTCTTTGTATTGTTTATATTTAATGCTTCAAGACTTGTCAAATAATAGGTTTA